TATTTTTATAAATATTAAATCTCATTGCAGAATTTCAATTATTTTTAATACAATTTTAATCGAATTCCTTGAAAAATGTAATTATTCTTGAAATTTTTAATAAAAATTCGTCCAAAAAGTTCAGTTATTTAAAGATTTGTTGATAAATTTCTGTATAAGAATTCAATTTTAAGAAGTAATCAATTATTCAATAAATAAATTATTTTTATATTTAAATAATTGAATCGTCGTAGAATTTTTTCATGAAAATTGATTTAAGAATGAATAAAATAAATTATTAAGTAATAAATGTCTTCGCAGAAATACAATTATGTTCAAAAATTACAAAAAATTCTAATCAAAATTTTAATTATCTTTATAAATAATAAAATTCTTCTCCAAAATTCAATTATTTTCAAAAAATTTCCTCAGTTCAACGATTCTGATAAAATCTTCCAAAAGAATTCAATTATTTAAAAGAAATTTAAATAAAATTCTACACAAATAATTAATTATTTTTATAAATTATAAAAATATTCTAGGAATTCAATTATTTACAAATTTTTTTATTAAATTCTTCTCAATAATTCAATTATTTTCATAAATAATAAAAATCATTGCAGAATTTCAATTGTTTTTAATAAAATTTTAATCGAATTCATCGAAAAATTTAATTATTCTTAAAAATACACAAACTGGTATTTTCAAATAAAAAAAAAAAAAAAAAAAAAAAAAAAAATTATTAAAATTTGTCAAGTAAATTCAATTATTTAAAAATTTGTTGATTTAATTCTTTATAAGAACTCGTTCTTAAGAGTTAATCAATTATTCAATAAATTATTTATTTTTATATTTAAATAATTGAATTGTCGTCGAAATTTCTTATGAAAATTAATTTAAAAATTAATTTCAGTTAAAATTTTAGATAATAATTGAATGAATTCTTAGAAATAATTGAATTTTAAAAAGGCTAAAAAATAACAGCTTTAGAAGTTTGAATTTTTCATTATTTTAACTAACAATTCTGTAGAATTAATTTTTTTGAAAAAGTGTAATTGAATTGTTTTGAAATTATTTGAATTTTTTATTTTCTAATATATTTTTAATTGAAGAATTTTCGAATAATCGAAATTTCTTTAAAATTGAATTGTACAAATGGATTTGAAAATTCTCAAAGAACTTTGTCGAAAATTTATTATAAATAATTGATTTAAAGGAAAGTTTTATTGTTTGTTGAAAATTTTCGAAAATAATAATTGAATTGAAATAATGAGAATAATTTCGAAGAAGTTACAGTAGCAATATTTAATTAAATTTCTTTAAAAGAATAAAATTATTTTCAAGAACTTTAATAAAATTCTTTGGGTAACAATTGAATTTTATTCAAAATAATTTTAATAAAATTCTTCACAGAAATCCAATTATGTTTAAAAATTAACAAAAAAAATTCTCGTCAAAATTTCAATTATCTTTATAAATAATAAAATTTTTCCCCGAAATTCAATTATTTTCAAAATTTTTAATAAAATTCTTGGCGCAGAATTTCAATTATTTTAAATAGGTACAATTTTTATCAAATTTCTCGAAAAATGCAATTATTTAAAAAAAATTTTAAATTTGTCAAGAGAATTCAATTATTTAAAAATTTGTTGTCAAAATTCTTTATGAAAATTCAATTTTAAGAAACATTGAATTGTTTAATAAAATATTTATTTTTATAGTTAAATAATTGAATTCTCGTAGAATTTTCTAATAAACATTGATTTAAAAATGAATTTCAAATTAAAATCTTTGAAAATTTGAACTTTTCATACTTTTAATGAAGAATTCTATATAGAATTAATTTTTCTCAATAAGTTTAATGGAATTTTTTTTAATTATTTGAAGTTTTTAATTTCTAATATATATTTAATTGAAGAATGTCAGAATAATCGAAATTTCGTAAAATTAAATTGTAAACAAAAGAATTTGAAAATTCATAAAGAACTTTTTCAAAAATTATTTTTAAAAAATTTACTTAAAGAATAATTATTTTAGTTGTAAATTCTAGAAATGAATAATCGTAATGTTGAAAATAATTTTTGAAGAAGTTACAGTAACAGAGTAGCAATAAGTTTTAATTATTATAAAACATGAAGAATGATCGATATCTTCAAGCTTTTATAATAATATTCTTATATTGTTGTTCTAATTGAACCGTCATAATAGTTATAGCTATAATTATAGTTATTATAATAATGAAACAATATTATTATATGTTATTGAATTTCAAAGTTTTGAAATATATTAGTTTTTGAAAAATTTTATGAAAATAATAGATATATTGAAAATCATTGAAATTAGAAAAATGTATTTTATTTTTGAAAATAATTGAAATTAGGACAAGAATTGTTTTGACATTTATGAAAATAATTTAACTTTGGAGAAGAATTTTGTTATTTATAATGATAATTGTGATTTTTACGAGAATTTTTTTCAAATTTCGAACATAGTTGAATTTTATAAGAAGAATTTTATTTTTCTTGAAAATAATTGAATTTCTGCAATTTATAATTGTAATTTCTCGAAAATTGAATTTTTTTTAGTGTTTTCAACAAAAATTTAAATTAGAAAATTTTCAAATTCTATTATTTTTAAAATTGTTAATTTTATTTAAAGAAGGCATGAAGAAGTTAGCCGCGCGCTTTGGCGCACGAATTTTTGCTATAGTATTTATTTATAAATGAGTTATTGATGCTTTCGAATAATTTTCGTTTTAAAAATCTGAAAAAATGAGTCATGTAAAGTTGGCACTACTTTTTTGGAAAATCAAAAATTTTACAAGAGTTCTGGGCACTTTGGCAATAGTTCTAGAGTTCTCTAACGATTATTTAAATAGTTCTGATGTTTAACAATAAAAAAAGCGACAATGAAAAATCATAGTGCTAACTTTGCATAGCACTATGATTTTTGCAAAAAAGAGTTCTGACCTAATATTCTAAAAGAGAATAAAGAGTTCTAGAGTTCTCTACAAAAAAAAACAAGAGTTCTGCAAAATTTCAAAAGTTATTAACAAATTAAAAAAAGATATAAAAATAATATTTTGCAAGTTCTGAATAGAGTTCTGGCATCGTTGCGAAGAGTTCTATAAGTATGTCTAATGACATTTTGTTCTAAATCCAAAATCAAAAAAGTTATGGGACTTTGAAGTTTTCATAAATTTTCAAAATTTTAAAATTCAGAGTTCTGAGAGTTCTGAAAAGAGTTCTGGCATCATCATAAAGAGTTCTATAAGTATTCCTAATGACATTTTGTTTTAAATCCAAAATCAAAAAAGTTACGGGACTTTAAAATTTTCTAAAATTTTCAAAATTTTAAAATTCAGAGTTCTGAGAGTTCTGATTAGAGATCTGGCATCGTCATAAAGAGTTTTACACGTATTTCTAATGACATTTTTCTCTATACAAAAAATCCAATTGTTACAGGACTTAAAAAATTACAAAAAAATTTCAAAATTTTAAAATTTAGAGTTCTGAGATTTCTGAAAAGAGTTGTAGCATCGTTATAAAGAGTTCTATAAGAATTTCTAATGATATTTTACTCTGAACGCAAAATACTAAAAGTTAGAGGACTTTGAAGATTTCAAGAAATTTAAAAAATTAAAAATTCAGAATTCTGAGAATATAATGTTTATTAATTTTGGGACAATCATGTTGCACTTTCCTCAAACAGTTAAGGGGTTAAAGTCCTGTAATTTTTTGGATTTTGGGCTTAGAGAAAAATGTCATTAGAATAGCTTCTAGAACTCTTCGCAATGATGCCAGAACTCTAATAAGAACTTTCAGAACTCTGAATTTTTAAATTTTTGGAAAATTTCAAAGTCCTGTAACTTTTTTGATTTTAGATTTAAAAATAAAATGTCATTAGCAATACTTATAGAACTCTTTATTATGATGCCAGAACTCTAATCAGAACTCTGAATTTTTAAATTTTTTGAAAATTTTTAAGTTCTGTAATTTTTTGGATTTTAGATTTAGAACAAAATGTCATTAGACATACTTATCGAACTCTTCGCAACGATGTCAGAACTCTATTCAGAACTTGCAAAATATTATTTTTATATCTTTTTTTAATTTGTTAATAACTTTTGAAATTTTGCAGAACTCTTGTTTTTTTTGGTAGAGAACTCTAGAACTCTTTATTCTCTTTTAGAATATTAGGTCAGAACTCTTTTTTGCAAAAATCATAGTGCTGTGCAAAGTTAGCACTATGATTTTTCATTGTCGCTTTTTTTATTGTTAATCATCAGAACTATTTAAATAATCGTTAGAGAACTCTAGAACTATTGCCAAAGTGCCCAGAACTCTTGTAAAATTTTTGATTTTTCAAAAAAGTAGTGCCAACTTTACATGACTGAAAAAATGATGTTTTTTAACCTGGAAAACCTGAAAAAGTCAGGGAATTTGAAATAAAAAAAGGGTGGCAACCCTGACAATTTTCTTCTTTTTTCTGAAGTACCAGAGACTTCCATATTAAATTATCAAGTTGAAGCCCACAACGTTGATCAACAAAAAAAAAAATTGTTCACTTAGTAAATTGATTAAAAATAACGCGCAGCAATATTGACACAAAAATATTTAGAAAAAAGAAGATTGATGTTTATATTTTGATAATAATTGTTTTACAATTAAATATTAAATTGAAAATCATAGGTACTTGAGTGTATTAAATAAATTTTTTTTGTTGATAAACGTTGTGGACTTCAACTTCGTATTAAATTAAAGTTTGTAATCGCAAAACCAAAAAGACCCTAAAAGAAAAGTTTGATAGCATCAAAAAGGAATATTGAAAACCCCCAAAATAATGTTATTTATCACTTAAAAAAAGGCGAGAAGAATCACTTCATATGAACACTTATTATGTGTTATTAATGGAGATATGGGAGTATAGGGAAGATTAATTTGAAAGAAACTAGGTCTTTTGTGTATTAGGGAAGTTAGAGCCCCCCTCCATGGAAAATGCGTATAGAATAATATACTCACAGCAATGATGATGAGAATGCTATCACATCTGGCCAGACCGATAAGAAGATAATTAATAGAGGACTTCATTTGCGGTCTTGATAGAATGATCATTGAGATAGTATTTCCCAGGATGCCAAAGAGACTCACGAGATTTAAAAGTATTCCACAAACGATGAACTCAAATAACCCATCCTTGAGTTCGACCTCACATTCAAGGATCTCGTTTTTCTTGGTGACTGTGGCAAGATTACGAGTAATGTTACTGGTGAAAAGATGAACGGTAAAATTTCCGGTGCTGCCGTCGGTGATGTTCCCCAGTGCGGAGCTCACTTCCATCGTTTTCAAATCTTTCGTCTTTTTCTTTTCTCCACCCCCACACCCCTTCTTTTTTTTATCGCTCCACGAGATTTTTTTTTCTTCCCTTCGTCTTTTTTTTCGTTTTATGTTAGCATTTTTACCAGGTTCGCTGTTCAATATCATTCAATCTTTTCTCCTTTTCTTCTTTATCTTATTTCCCCTGTTACATATTTTAGTTTCCACTACATTTTGTATTTTATTTTCTGCAATACATTTTTGAATAACATTTTCCACTACATTTGCTTTTGGATTTTTTTATTTCACAATACACGGTTTGTCAATCGAGTTCATTTTTTGTCACTTAATTTACATTTTGAAAAGTTGTTTTTAATTCACTTTTTGAATCACTTTTTGAATTCGCTATGTTTGAATTTTATTTTTTGGTTTGTAATTTCAGTTTTGTTCTGTATTTTTCAACAATGTATTTTTATTACTATTGTTTATTATTTTAATTATTTTTATTATTGCTATTATTGTTGCTATTCTTGTTGTTAATTATAACAACAATTTATTGACTTAAATATTTTGACAAATATTTAAATAATTTTTGGTACTTAAGTATTTGTATTTTAACATTTGCTTTTAAATGTTTGTATCTTAATGATAGCATTAAAATGTTTGTATATTAATATTTGCATTTAAATGTTTGTATTTTAATATTTCTTTTTAAATATTTCTATTTTAATATTTGCATTTAAATTGTATATTTAATTGCAAATTGTATATTTAATTAAAATTTCTTTTTATACTTAAATACCTGTATTTAAATATTTGTGTTTAAAATTAGTCTTTTTTAAATTCACTTTTTTTCTTCACTTTTGTTAATTTGAATTTTAATTTTTTCCTCTTCATTTATAGTTTTGAAAATGGGAGGAATTTGTTGTTTAGAGGGAAACATAAAAGCTTTGTTTGAATTTGGAATAAAGTTGGCACTGTTGACACGTGTGATCGGTTAGAGAAATAATGGAAAGTGTTCGTTCGATCATCTTCGGCGTCGTTATGGAGACTCGCCAAGAAAGTAGAAGTCACTTTATTCTCTCTTCGTCATCTCTTTTCGTACATTTTCGTCCCTGAACTCGGGGAACTTAATTGCGCAAGTAAGCTTGAATGTTAATTCAATTAATTCAATTGAGTAAGTGTCAGAGAGCTGTATGAATTCTACCTTTTAAATTTGTGGGACGCAATCAGAGGCATTTTTCTCTTCTTTTCTTGACTCTTTGATGAGGGCGAAAGAAAAGTTCGCGGCTCAGTTAAGTTTCAATATCAACTGAATTTTGTCCCTTAATTTTTCTTTAATAATATCCTTTTGATAATGAGAGGCAATAGATTGAGCAATGAATTAATAAATATTCAGGAACGTTCATGATTATTTTCTTTTCTTGGTATTCAGTTCATTGAATTTTACTCTCGGAATCTGAAATCAGAAAAAAAATTTATTAAACATCTTTTTGTTTAGACATATTCAAAATTTGTTTATAATACTTTGAATTAAATTAATAATCAATTTATTTGAATGAAATTAATTATTAATTAAAATCAGAAAAAAATGAAACTCTTTGTTTAGATTGATTCTAGATTCGTTTCTTTTTATACTGTAAATGAAATTAATAATTAATTAATTTGAATTAAATCGATTATTAATTTATTATTAATTATTACTTAATAATTAAAATCAGAAAAAACTTAATTATACCTCTTTTTAGATTTATTGAAGATTTGTTTGTTTTTATACTTTAAATACTTTATAATAATCGTAAGTTTCCTTTCCGCTGGCAAATTCTCTGCATTTATTTGTTTGTTTTGAAAATTTTTTTTTGTGGGTTATTGTCATTTTTTTTAATGTCAAAAAAACCAAAAAAAACTCGTTTTATTCACTTCGCAAAATTGACAAAAATTCAATTCCATATTTTTTATTTTCCTGACTTTTTTCTAATTTTCATCAAAAATATTTACTTTTTTCTTATCCTGCTAATAAATTGAATTTCTACAACGAATTTTATTATTCATGAAAGAATTTTAAATATATTTCTAAAAAATAATTTAATTCTTGCAAAGAAATTTATAAGAAATTTTAAATAATTCATTTCTTTCGAATAATTTTATGCAAATTCTAATTTAAATAATTGAATTCCTGAGAAATTTTTATTATTCATGTAAATAATTGAATTTGTTACGAAAATTTTTACAAACCATTATGTAAATAATTGAATTCTGTTTGGAAATTTTCTGAAAATGGTAAATATTAAAAATCATTGAATAGCGAAAAGTTTTTAAAGATAATTGAATTTTACAAAGAATTTTATTAAAAAATTTGGCAATAATTGAATGTGTGTGGGAAATTTTATTAAATTTTTTTGAAAATAATTGAATTCCTAAAAAACATTTTATTATTTATGAAAATAATTGAATTCTTGCGAACGATTTATAAAAATTTTTTAAGATAATGGAATTTTCAAGAAGAAATTTATTACTTTTAAAAATAATTGAATTATTGTGATGAATATTGTTATATTTATGAAAATAATTGAATTTTAAAAAGAATTTTTTAAAAATACTTCAAAATAATTGAATTTTCGGGAGTAATTTTCTTAGTTATCTTTAATAATTGAATTCTTTTGAAAAATAATTTGTGTAAATAATTGAATTCTTAGAAAAAATTTTATTAAAATTTAAAAAAGTAATTGAATTATTTCAAAATAATTTAATTAAAGTATTGTATTTAAAACAATTAATTTCTTTAGAACAATTTTATTAAATTTTTGAAAATAATTATTCAATCCTTCCAAAAAATATGAAAAAAACATTTTTTTAAATAATTGATTTTTTTGAGGAATTGAAAATAAGTTTTTAAGAATAATTACATTTTTTGAGCAATTCCTGTAAAAATTGTATTGAAAATAATTGAATTCCTGCTATGAATTTTATTATCTATGAAAATAATTGAATAATTACTAGGAATTTTATTCTAATTCTCAAAAATAATTAAATTTCATAGAAGAATTTGATTATTTTTGAAAATAATTGAATTATTGCGGAAAAGTTTATTAAAATGTTTAAAAAGAGTTGAATTTCTGTGAAAAATTTTATTATTTTTGAAAGTGATTGAATTCTTCATAAGAATTTTATGAACATTGTTTGAAATAATTAATTTTTTCGAAATATAATAAATATTATGAAAATTTTATTAGTTTAAATAATTGAATTCTTGTGGAAAACTTTATTTGTGAAAATAACTGAATTTTTCGATTATTAATTAATTTAAAATAGTAATAAAAATAATTGAAATTCTTCTATGAGTTTTATTATTTATGAAAATAATTAAATTCATGATTAGAATTTAATCAAATTTTTTTTTGAAAAAATTGAATTTTCATGAAAAATTTTATTATTAGTGAAAGTAATTGAATTATTGTGAAAAATAAATTGCATAAAATTTTGTTAAATAATTGATTTTTTCGAAATTTGTTTAAAAATTAGCTAATTAAAAGTAGTGGAAATTCTCTAAAAAAATTAGTTAAATTAATAATTAATTGATTTGAATTAATTATTAAATTAAATTAAATTAAATTAAATCAATTATTAATTAGCTCTTAATTAAAATCGGAAAAACTTAATTAAACCTTTTTTTGTTTAGATTTATTAAAGTTTTGTTTGTTTTTATACTTTAAATTAATAATTAATTAATTTGAATTCAATCCATTATTAATTACTCCGGATTAAATTAATTAAATATTTATTTGTATGAAATAATTTTTATTCATAAGTCAATTAAATGGTATTTGCTATTGGTTCAAATATTGAAATTATTGGTTCAATACAATATTTGTTTGAGGTAAATAAAAATTATTTGATTCAAGTAAATATTTATTTTAATAATTGACAAGTAATCGTTCATTTGAATCAAATATACATTTTATTCCTTGTGCAATATAAAAATATAATATAAAAAATATTATTATATTTTTATATTGCTATATATTTTTTCAATTATAAACTTATAAGAATAAATTGTCTTTAATTAGTAAAAATCATTAAATATACAATTTATTACAAGAGAATCGTTGAGATAATCAAAAAATCAGGATGGAAAATTAATTAAGAGAAGAATCGTTTTTTTTATCGCCGCGAATTGATTGGCATTTTCTTTCCTTTTAATTGGAAATTGAGCGAAGTTTTATTTCAATACAATTAATTGGATCAGTAAAATGAATATTCGTTTAAAAAATAAAATTTTTCGATTTTTACAAAAGTAATTAGTGCAAATGATGCTTTTAAACATTAGAAAATTTTATCCTAATTAAAATTTAGTCTGGAAAATTTTTTTAAATTATATTTAATTAAAATTTAGTTTACTTATTTAAATATATTTAATTAAAATATACATTTTAATTAATTTGAGTAACTTAAATTTTGAGCGTAATATTTCTGATTGTAAATTTTGATTTTGACTAATTTAAATATTTCGATTACAAGAAGAATGTGTGTATTTTTCTTTTTTGGGTAATAATTAAATTTTAATTGCTGTTTTGAATTGACTGTCGGATATTTTAATTGGATTAGACAGGAAATTCATTTTCTATTAACAATATTTGTTTTTGTTGAATTGAAGACAGAAAACAATTATTTTGTAACAGTGAGAAGAACGAGGTTTCATGTTAACTGCAAGGTACGATTGAATGAACACTTTATAGTGATGTTCCCTTTACCGTTTCAAAAGTCGTCAGTCAAGTTCAGCTCATTGACTCAGCAGTTGCGCTAATTTGCCCGCCTCTGATTTCTACCTCGTTGACTTCATTCTATGACTCCAATCGCAATTCTATTCTGACAGTGTCGTCGATAATTAAATTCAATTACCAATTTTTGTGCCAATTAATCTTTAAAGTATTTTATTTATTTTATAGTTTACATAGATGGGAATATAATTATCTGATTTTTTATTTGCTGTTTACATTAATATTATTATTTTTTATTTATTTATTTAGAAAAAAATTAAATCCCATAAATAATAAAACTCATCGCAGAATTTATTATGTATTAATAAATTATAATTTTATTAATGTAAACTGTAAATGGAATTTGAAAAATTTTCACGAACGCCGAAAGAGGCACCACTCCGATAAATTTCGTTGAGCGTTTTGCTTAACTTCTGAGGAAGTTTGTATTTTACCTTTTCGCTTCTCACGTAACTTTTTTATTTGCATTATTTTCTAAAATTAACATTTTATACAATTTTTAATTTTCCAAGTAAATTATTATTATTTTTAATTATTTTGTAAAATATTTATTTAAACAAAAAACCAATAATCTGTTATATATAGGGATCGAACTAGGACCGTAAATCACATAAAGGTTCATGAAATTGGTTCAAGTCCGTAAAAGTCAATTTTTTTGAAAAAAGGTCCGTAAAGTCCGTAAGTTGATTCTCGTCAAAATTTCAATTAGCAAAAATTTCAAAAATTTTCCTCAATTCAATGATTTTCAAAATCTACAATTTTAATAAAAATTATCCAAAAGAATTCAATTATTTAAAAAAATTTTAATTAAATTTCTACGCAAACATTTAATTATTTTCATAAAATAATAAAAATTTCACAGGAATTCAATTATTTACCATTTTTTTAATCAATTTCTTCGTAATAATTCAATTATTTTCATAAATAATCAAATTTTTACAAGGATTCAATTATTTTCGTACATAATACAATTTTTTTTAGAAACTCAATTTTTTTAGAAATTCAATTTTTTTCCTAAATAATAAAACTCAATGCGCAGAATTTCAATTATTTTTAATAAAATTTTAATCGAATTCCTCGAAAAATTTAATTGTTCTTAAAAATTTTATTAAAATTTGTCAAGAGAATTCAATTATTTAAAAAATTTTTGATAAAATTCTTTATGAGAATTTATTTTTAAGAAGTAATCAATTATTCAATAATTTTTTTTTTGTATTTAAATAATTGAATTCTAGTAGAATTTTCTAATTAAAATTGTTTTAAAAATTAATTTCTGTTAAAAACAAATAAATACAATTTGAATAAAATTTCTTGATGGAATTTAATTATTTTTAAAAAGTTTAACAAAATTTTATTATAGAATTCATTTATTTTTAAAAATTGTGATAAACTCTTTGGAAGAATTCAATTATTTTCGGAATAATTTTGATTAAATTCCTCGTACGAAATTCAATTTTCTTCGAAACAATTGAATATGAATTTTTACAAATTTTATTTTTTTCTTATTTTTTATCTATTATTTCTATTTATTTGCATAATTAATATTTTCACAGGAATTCAATTATTTACAATTTTCATACAATTTTTATAAAATTCTTCTTAAAAATTCAATTATTTTCAAGTTTTAAGAAAATTCTTCGCAAAAATTCAATTATTTTCATATCTGATTAAATTCTTTGCT